CTCAGCTTTGGCATGACCCGTGTTACGGACGATCGATGCCTTGACAGGCGCTTTAGCAATGGGAGGTACACACTTAGCATTACATAAATAAGGGATTTTCGAAACCACACTTAAATCAAGCATCTACTTTCAAGCTATGAGAACCACCATTTCTCCATCTTGCCTCACCAAGATAATACGGCACACCCAGCTTTGGCATGGCCCATGACACGTACGATCGAGGCCTTGACAAGTGCTTTACTCGTAAAGCTTCTAGATCTAATCAGTTTCTGTGTAACGATTGTTCATAGGATCGGGTTCTAACAAAATCATGCAGAGCAACCAGACTCTGATACCTCATAATCCGAATGGATAATCCAATCGATTATACAATCCCAATCTCGAAGCTCCCACTCAATCAAACATATATAATATCTTGATTAAGTTACATACATTCATTCACTATGGACCATCCATAAGAAAGAATCATGTTATTCTGAATCACAGTTGATCGATTTTAAGCAACGATTGCTTAAACCAGATCCCGAAACGCAAAATCAAATTTTGGTGAAGCGTCGGTCCTAGACCGATCGATCTAGGCCTAGACCGATCGGTCTAGGCGGTTCGATCTTCGGGTCATAGTCGGTCCGTTCGGTCTGGAATGGTCAGACCGTTCGGACTGACTCTTCAGTCTGTTCGGTCTGACTCTCCAGTCCGTTCGGTCCAGACCAATGGTTCGGACTCTTGCCCCTTCGGTCCTTCTCTCTCGGACCAGTGACCTAGATCGGACGGACTGGCTACACACCTTAGTCCGTTCGGTCCAACATCTTGGTCCGAACGGACTGGATCGTCTAGCCCAGAGAATCGACGAACCCTAGACCGTCTGGTCCAGAGGACCAGACCGTTAGGTCTAGGCGGAAAAACGCGATCAGATCACGTTCTTCGTCGTTTCGGTCCCGATTCAGATCCGATTTCGACCCCGTTTTCGGCTGTGAACTCAGAACAGAAGCCTCTTGCACACTATGCAACAAAGAACATGAAATCTACCCTAGATCCATAATCAAATCATGCATAGCATCAATAGCAAACACGGATTCAAACAATTCAAATCCTAAAACGTGCGTGATCGGTTTCTAACAAAATCATGCAGAGCAACCAGGCTCTGATACCACTGTTGGGTTTTCTTGGGATCTCAAGAGCGAATCTAATTCCTAAGAGATCAGTTTTAGGGTTTGCGCAGCGGATGAAAAACAAAATTTGATGAAACCCTAAAACCTATCATGCATGATCTTGTAGAAACGTTAGAACGCTTACCTCAATCGATCTGGGGCCTGTATCAACTGATGTGTTCGTCCGATCTCTAAAGGGCTACTCCTAGACCGGACGGTCCGGACCTCTGTCCAGATTTCTCGACGTTTTCTCGTGCATTTGTCCTTCCCTGTGTGTGTGACCCTGTAGACTCATTCGATATAGCAGTATAACCCGAAATCTCTATTCCGGATATACAAGTCATAGGCGGTCTCTAGCAAGACACTATGACTACCTATCTCGAATTGAGTTTGTTCGTGATCTTACGAACGCCAGTGATGATTCTGGTTGATGATCCTTTTGTATCACGATATCATATGTCGAATATAAGGCATGGACAAGCCACCTTATCTGATTCGACTGCTTTCTCGTTCACTGAGTTCGACTGTCTGAAATAGACGACGCTCGTCTATAGTGCG